TCGTCTAGAAGCTTTGCGAATTGACCGTTTGCCATTTTCTGATAAAACATCAAAGACGTTAGTCCACAACCTTAGTTTGATTCATGTTACCTACATAGATATGGTTTTTAATCTATGTTCCATTTCCATTTGTTCATCTCTGAGATTTCCCTCCTTTCTCAGTGACGGAGATGACGAAATGTCTCTGGAAATGTAAGAAATCACATAGGGTGCGTGGGGCCAACTGTTTCAGCTGCATAACCCCACCACCTTTCTGTGACGGATCATATCCACTCATCAAATGAGTTTCCCTTTGGCCTCTGTCAGACAAGGTTCAGAGCCGTTTTCAGGTAAACCCTTATATCCAGTGAGTACTCACCCATCATATTCAGGTTACRCCAAGGTACCGTGAGAGAGTTCCCATTTTCTGGTGAAGCCCCTCCCACATCGGTCTATGACGCCCCTATCATCTTATGAAACACTCTGACATACCCAATAGCAAATGGATTGCCCAATTTTATGGTGTGTTTCCTCATTACTGAAGGACCCATCATTGTGCTAATGACGGAAGACCTTTAGAGAGTCCATCATATGAATCTCCCTATCACATGCACTCATATTTGCTGGAGGGAACAAAATTACGCCCTAGTTCTGATTTTAGGTCAAATCAAAGTGGCTCCCACTGACTTTCATAAAGTCAGTTTTCTAGTGGGCCTTAAGCGGCTAGGGTTTTCGTACGCATCCCTTTTCAGGGTTGTGGGGCCCACCATGTAAGGAGAGGTCATCCAATGACCTTAAGGGACACCATGGCAATGATGTGCATTCAGCCATGGTGTGCGCAAGAGCCACTAACGAGTCATCATGGGCCAAGTGCTTGTGGCCCATAGTCGCAGCACATCAAACATCCAAACATCACATGCAAAGGAAGAATTGATCCAATCAATTAACTGTTGTAAAGCCCATTGAACAGCCCATTTAAAATCCATAACATTAACAATTAATGTCGACTAGGTGTATGGGCTGAATCGCAGTCAGCAGTTCGGGCCATACAATTTTTCTCACAAGAGTGGGCTTTTGCAATTTTAACCTTTTAAAACTGGGCTTTACAGGTGGGCCGAATTAATCCCTGTAATTGAACATCAGATTTGGAACAGCAAGTGTGAGAAAAATTGGACTTAAAATAGTCCCCTTCGAACCCTAGATTTGGTCCAAACAATTTTGGTCCAATCTAGTCCGAAATTGTCCGAAACTGATTTTCAATTCAAGAGTTAATTCATGAAAGATTTGAAATTAACAATTTTAATTTTAGACAATCACAAATCAAATGTAGATTGTTCGCACCACCTGCAAAATAAAAGTTAATCACTAGGGTTGCAGTTTCACAAACTGCAAATCGCAGAAAGCGAATTCTCCATCTGCAAATTTCCAGCGCCGCCTTCTTCTTCCTTCTTCTTTAATCAAGAAAATAAAAAAATTACAGAAATCCTATTTCTATTAATTAATTACATTCTTGATCAAATCTTATACATTCAGTCTAGAAAATAAAAAAAAAAATTATTTACAGACCGAATTAAATAAAATAAATGAATAAAAAGGAAAAAGGGTGCGCAGACCATCTACACCAAATCTGCACTACGATCTCCAGGTTCGAACAGTCCATTAAATCAAAATAAATAAAGAAMARTTCTAAATAAATTTTGGATTTAACAAAAATTAATTTCAGATCAATCGCCCTTAACAAGAAACAGTTTCTTGAAATAAAGAAAACAATCTGTGCAAATCTTGGCAGAACATCTTTTGTTCATCTGCGCAGGTTCAGATATGATTTTCTTTTGGTTCAAGATTCGAACCTATGGCTCTGATACCACTGAAAGAATGGTAGGATCCATCTAATGGACGCCATAAAGATTGCGGAATGGGTGGGCGAATTTCATAAATTTTCCCACCTTCTCCCAACTGGGAATCGTATTCCCTACATTTAGAATACAATATTCAATGATCCAACTTGAACCATAATTGAACTAGATCTGAACCAAAAAGGGAAGGGAGGAATTATATCTGATCCAGAGAAGCAGTATCTCCCAAAGTCAGTGTTCACGCCCAAAGAGGACACCAAGATCTACACCTGCTGAAGATGACACAGCTATAGTGGAACGGAACTAGCAAAGTGCGTCCTACACACTGGATCCTTCTCAAGAATCCTCTGGAATTCTCAGACTGTCTCAACATACCCAGGTTTTGATCCCCGCTAAGGATCTCACTGATTGGCATATCAAAGACAGCCCGATCCGACACTTAGTGAAGTGTCATAATCGAGTCTAGGGGTCAGGTGTAACTTTCCAGTTTTGCCCATCTGTMTCCAAGGTCCAGGGCAATACTGGAAATCTGGTCCGGTTCAAGGATTCGAGTAATCCCATACTGCATGTGCCTTGGGTCTTACCCTGGTGGTCGAGGCAGGCCATCCCAACACTTGGTGGCACACCAGTATCAACCTTGGCAGGATAAACCTCCCCAAACTTATCCAATGGCTGTGAACATTTAAAACTAACACGAGTCTCAATAAGTGTCCAATTTTACGGTCTTGCACAGAATTATACCAAACAACATGAATCAAACACACTTTATTTATTTATACTAAATATCAAAAGTACATCAAATCAGATTGAAGCTAAGGACATACAAGACTGTCTAACAACAAGAATATCCAACTCGTGAATGGCTGACTTATTACTTGATTTGTTCATTAGAGTTTTGAAAGGACTTTGAACCCTTTAAAAGTAATGACACTTTTACGTATCAGAATTCAGAAAGGGATCATTCGTTCCGGTTGAACCCCATTCAACCGGTGGTCTGATCTGGTTTTCAAAACATTGTTAAAACGAAGGGATTATCATTTGATATTCTTTTCTTCTCACTCAAATAATGGGTGGGCTGTTGCTGTAGAGTGTGAAGGGAAATTCCGAATATCAGAGAATCTAATTTAGGTAGATACAGCTAGCTAATTTACTTTTCTTAATTTGTGTTTTTTAAATACCCATCTCTGCGACTTGAAAGCAATATTCTAACAACATTATTTGTACACCCAATACCCAATTTTGTCTTTATCGTTAAATAATATAGAACACTATATACCTGTTGGTAACAGTTGAAGTGGCTGAACTGAATGATTTACTGCTTTGTCTTTTAGGCTGTGTTTGGTCTGAAAGAACGCAAGAAAGAAACACAAAGTTGAGGGAACACTCTTAAGTCTTAACAAATTAAATTTTGTGAAATTCGGATTCCTTATTAATGTTACCTGAAGTTGGGTTGAGTGCCATCCCAAATGGCCACTCAGCTCTCTATTTTTTCTATTTGCCTTTCAGATTTGTTAAGGATAAAGTTGCATGCAATCACAAGCAGAAAAAAGAAGCAATGGCTATGGACAAGGAAAATAATTGACTTTTTGCAAAGAGAGATCAGATGGGATTGGACCCACTTGCCATTCGGTTGACCTGACCCCACACAGGAAATTAGTCTAGGTGAAAGACCAGTCTCATAATCTGATGCAGTGCAGGCAACCATGCATGTGGATCATGGTTTTGAGAAGTCCAACACATTAGGGCTACATTTGGTTGCATGTAGAATGAAGGAAAACCAGTGGTTTTCTGAAAATTGGTAGTTCACAATGTTTGTTGCACCTAAGATGACTGAAAAGCGAGGACTGCAGGTTGTAGGGAAACTGTTTTCCAAATACAGGTTGGTATGGTATTCCCCATGTATTTATTATATAACTATTCAAGTTTGTTTTTGTTTTTTTAAATTGACAGTCCAAAAATAGGAACTGTATTTGATGGTTCTGCTGATAATCTACTCGTGGTGCCGACACATTTTCCACATCGGATGATGGATATTGATCTGATGATAATCCACTTGTGGCACCAATTATAACTTCCTAATATTTGTTCTAATTAATTCCATTTATATAAGCCAAAAGGATTGATAAAGAAGTAAATAAACAGAGAAAATAAATGAATATGAGGGCCCAACAATAATATAATATACGGTGAGAAGGAAAGGATAGAGAGAGAGTGTGCATCGGATTCCAACACCTAACAGACAAGAAACCCTGGTTGAGGAATAATTAATTGATGAAAAAACGCTTATCACATTATTTCAGCAATACTTATAAGGTTATATTACAACACAGTGGTATGTACCTAAATAATTTTCTCTTAGTTACACTGACACCCCTCTTTACAGTTAAGTCTTTCCATGGAATTTTAGAATAATAACTAGTAGATTTATTGATGAATTTACTTCGCTTTGCTATAAATCTATAGTAATAATAATCAATATGTCAAAGTCGATCGAACCCATCTATTCCAATATGTATATATCGAAAGGCTGAGTTTATTCCATCAATTCAGATTGAAGAAGACATAAGAGGGGACATATTCTAATTAAATATGAAAATTAATTGAGAAGATGGGGTAAGGATAAATTATATTGGTGTATAAGTTGAGGTTGATGAGGGTGAAATGTGAATGAGCCCCCTGTCCACACATGACTTATTGGTAGGTTGGTTAGTTGGTATGGACCTCGTTGTCTCCTTCCATATCCAGCTCAAAATCCTTGTTGGGATTTGACATGGCCACGACCTCAATGAAATTAATCAATTATTACTAACATCTCTCTCTCATATAGATGGAGAGTTAGAGAGAGAAAATATCAGTACGATCAATCTTCAAATTAATCTTATCCCCTCTAGCTCACGAACTACAAAAAGCCCATCTTCATTTCAAGCTTTGTTATCTTTTCGATCTGTTCCCTCTATCTGTCTTCAATTCACTAAGCATATATATAGATCAGATCCCTAGCAACATTCACTTAGCTTAATTAGTCCATCGTTTGTATTCCTAAAGGTAGCTAGCTAGCTAGCTAGATTTCCATGATCCATCTTGTTGTTGTGGTTGTTGTTTATCAAAAATTGACAACAATATAATGTAATCTTTTCATGTATGAATTAATTTTTGCAGTGCAACTGATCCAACTGTGGAAGATGAGAGAAATTCTGCACATCCAAGCCGGACAATGCGGCAACCAAATCGGTGGCAAGTTCTGGGAGGTTGTGTGCGATGAACACGGCATTGATGCCAAGGGAAAATACGTTGGCAATTCGAGGCTTCAACAAGAGAGGGTGAATGTTTACTTCAATGAAGCCAGCGGAGGGCGGTACGTCCCCAGAGCTGTTCTAATGGATCTTGAGCCAGGCACCATGGATAGCTTGAGGACAGGACCTATTGGCCAAATCTTCCGGCCGGACAACTTCGTTTTCGGACAAAATGGAGCTGGTAACAATTGGGCCAAGGGCCATTACACTGAAGGCGCCGAGTTGATCGACTCAGTTCTCGATGTTGTTCGTAAAGAGGCTGAGAATTGTGATTGTTTGCAAGGTACTAACGATATAACCTAAGCTCATTACGTACACCATCACCACTACTCTGATGATCAATTACGTACAGTAGTAGTCCACAGCTCCTGGACTGGAATATTGATGATTATGTGCATGGATGCACTGCAGGCTTCCAGGTTTGCCATTCCCTCGGCGGTGGAACCGGTTCGGGGATGGGGACGCTGTTGATATCGAAGATCAGGGAAGAATATCCCGATCGGATGATGCTCACATTCTCGGTCTTCCCTTCGCCTAAGGTCTCCGACACCGTGGTGGAGCCGTACAATGCAACCTTGTCTGTACACCAATTGGTGGAGAACGCCGATGAGTGCATGGTCCTTGACAACGAAGCCCTCTATGACATCTGCTTCCGAACTCTCAAGCTCACAAATCCCAGCTGTAAGTTGCTAGTTTGCTCTCTCTCTCTCTCTCTCTCTCTCTGAAGTGTATGACAGAGAGAGGAAGGCAGAACAGAACAGCCATATTTTTGGGTTGGCCCTTCGATCCCCTCTTTAATTTCTAAATACTAATGTGAGTGCATTCTGCGTTTCATTATTCAGTCGGCGACCTGAACCATCTGATCTCAACTACCATGAGTGGAGTGACTTGCTGCCTCCGATTCCCTGGTCAACTCAACTCCGATCTCCGGAAATTAGCCGTCAACCTCATTCCCTTCCCACGTCTTCACTTCTTCATGGTTGGATTTGCACCGTTAACGTCCCGCGGGTCTCAACAGTACCGAGCCCTGACCATCCCTGAGCTCACCCAACAGATGTGGGATGCCAAGAACATGATGTGCGCCGCTGACCCGCGCCATGGCCGGTACCTCACCGCTTCGGCGATGTTCCGAGGCAAGATGAGCACAAAAGAGGTCGATGAGCAAATGATAAATGTCCAAAACAAGAACTCTTCTTACTTCGTTGAGTGGATCCCGAACAATGTGAAATCAAGCGTCTGTGACATCCCCCCAACGGGGTTGTCGATGTCGTCGACGTTCGTCGGGAATTCAACGTCAATCCAAGAGATGTTCCGACGTGTTTCGGAGCAATTCACGGTGATGTTCCGTAGGAAGGCCTTCTTACACTGGTACACCGGAGAGGGAATGGATGAGATGGAGTTCACTGAAGCCGAGAGTAACATGAACGATTTGGTATCTGAGTACCAGCAGTACCAAGAGGCTGTTGTTGGGGAGGAGGAAGATGAGTATGACGAGGAGGCGGTGGAGAATTAGGAGGAGAGGCGGAGAACTTCGGTGGCGTCGGATATCCAGAAGAGAAGAAAAAAGAAAAAGGGTGTTGATTATTGATACGATTGGTGTTTGTTATGGGCGAAAATAAGGCGACTGAGCTAGTAACAGTATTACAGTAACAGTGCTTCTCTCTCTCTCTCTCTCTATATATATATATATCATCCCCATCCCCTCCCTTGAGAGTTGAGACAAGAGATTCTGAGAGTAGAGATTGTTTGTCTGTATGCATAAAATTAGAGAATTTTTAGGTGTAAATTATCCCTTCTCAGTTCACACTTTGTGTGGCTCTGAACGAGCTTTGTTTGCATTTGTTTTGTCTTGTCTGATATTCGTCCTTCAAAGTTTAAAGCTTATTGATTTGGTTGCAGAATCCATTATCTGTAAATCTCAGCGGAATCCGTTATTTATTTATTTTTCGGAATTTGCGGAATCCATTAAATTCGGCATGTAAATGGTTAAGTTTCAAAAATTTGACACCCTTTGCAACTTGGGTCCATAGCTCAGTGGTAGAGCATTTGACTGCAGATCAAGAGGTCACCGGTTCGAACCCGGTTGGGCCCTTCATTTTTATTTCCGTGATAATTCTCCTTCTCCTTGTTCTTTTACAAAGGGGATCTTTTAATTTTCTCTTTCTTTTTTTTCCGCAAGAATCAAGGCTCACTTTTTGAAGTTAATTCATCATTCATGGACCAAACAAATTCGCCAGGTCCCTTTTTTTCTATAATCTTTTCTTTTTACAAATCTCTAACTTTTCTTTTTCTGGTGATAAAGAAAGAATTTTCAAGCTGCTAGACCTTTTAGATAAAAACTTTGTTTTTATTGCAATTACATCAAAAGATTCAAAACAAATTAGAAGGGTGAAAAACAAAATTATTACCTTTTTATTTCTTTTCTTTATTATTATTTTTTTTGTTCAACTTTTCAAGGCTCAGTTTTCCGAAGTAAAATCGTGAAGTTCAATTTTTATTTTTTTTCTTTTTGTAACATTTTTTGGCTTACTTTTATAGTTTTATTTTTACTTGTTGACTAGAGATTTTACTCACTTTGGGGAGTAAATTTTTCTTTGATAAAAATATACTCGCTGTAAAATGAAATTTTTACAGGCACTCGAGACCCCAATATAGGCCCGCCCAATGTGGGATTCACATATAGAATACCAATTATAAGACCAAAATGCTGGTCCACAATAGCACCCACATATGAGACCACCATGTCCAATAAGAAGGGCCCAAATGTCGTAACTGAGATGTGGTTCAGATTTCAGATAAGGAACCAATATGTGGGACCACATGTGATACCCATATACCTGACCAATAGGGGGCTTTGGTTGGACTTGATTTCAAGATGGCATTAACATGTCAATCTAACAATACATCAATTACGATTTTTGCTTTAGCTTTTCTCAGTAAGAGTCCACTTTGTAGTGGAGTTGGGTATCACTGTATTAGGCATCTTCACTTGGAAGGCAAGGCAACGCGAGTCATCGTTCGACTTCTGTTGGAGAACTCTCCTTGGTGTATCCACACCATTATTGCAGACTGCAGAAGTTGCTTAGCTCGCCTGGAGTCTTTTTCGATCACCCTCACCCATACAAAACAGGAAGCTAACCATCGTCTAACGCATGTCCTAGCTAGCATGCACTCTCAAGTCTCAACAGACAGAACTCTCATTTGGGCCTCTTGTCCTTCCTGAATTCTGACTGTAATTACCGAGATTGACGCTTTACCAATGCAATTTTGCATTTCAAAAAAATAAAAAGCCAATTTAGATTTTTGTCCTCACTCGAGACATCCCAGTAGAGACTGTCAACTGTCAGGTGTCATTGGGCTAGTAGCAGCAGGACTAGTAGATTACTGTAACACGCCAGCAAACGGATTTCTCATTGCGTTTGCGACCCACTCGAGAAATAATGTCACGTATCTACATTAAACGACCTGATACCAGTCTACCAGATCGAGCACCACCAGCGAAGCCCCCGATAGGCCGATACACAATTACACATAATTGCAGAATAACTGAACAAGCATTCTAGGAGGCAAAACGCGAGAGAATTAAAAAAAAAAAAAAAACGTTACAGGGGGAGGGGGGTACTTTGTTACGAAATTTCAAACAAAAAATGGATGATATAACTCTTTTAAGTATCCAAAATGGATAATCTCAACAAACAAGACTTCAGAATACACCCACGTTCCACATCAACGTAGCAAACCAGAAGCAGTTGCTGTACAGAAATTGCAAGTTCAGCAACAAATCTTATCCCCCTTGATTGTTCTGTTAAATAGTATTCACATCCCCATAAAACCAATCAAATTGTGGGATGATTCCTCTATTGTCCAAAAAGCTCTTCTATCAAACCGTTGTAGAGGTTGATGTGCTAGATGGGGGGAAAATAATAACAAAGAGAGATCCCCGTTACCATCACTTACCAGCCGAAACCTTAACAAGAGTGCCATAGAATGAATGACTAAAAGCTGCCCATTGTATGCAAACATGCGGCATCCAATTTTTCCCTGTGCATGTTATGGCTGAATGTGGAAACAATGTGGCTTGTCATTTTGCCCGAATGTTGAGATTCTCGCAAGGGTCAATTTTAGGATAGGCCAGTCATAACAAATAAAGGATTTTGTAAATTGACCCTTGGTTTCTTGTTTCCTATTATCCAGGACCAGCATTCCTTTTGGCTTCAAGTTCAGAACCCTCTCTAAGTGCTACCCGTGCTTCATTTTGCTTATCAAGTATGAACAAAGCAGCAGCTTGAAGATAAGATGCAGTATGCCATCCAGGGGATATGACTTGTGCTTGTGTTGCATCGCTAAGTGCTTCGTTGGGCATGTCACTCATGAGATAACACACACTACGGCGGGCATAAACTGTTGGAGAAACCATGGTTCCAGCATCAATGAACTGCAAATTACAGAAATTGTCAGTTCCATGCTAAATGTTCTTATGCTTGGATTAAAAGGGTGTCTGTAAAACACACCCAAGGTGCACAGTGAGCAGACCCTAGAGATACATCCTCCAACCTTGAAGCATGAGGAACAGGTACAAAAAATACTAGTACAAGGAATCACAATTAATCCTTCTGAAGTGTGACTACATATTTTACAATCCTAATACAAGACTAGTAGGTCATAACATATTTTGCAAAGAAAAAAAAAGGCTTCCTTTCTCTACAGAAGAACATAATAAAGGAAAGGGAGGATACATAGTAATGAATATTATTAACAGAAGAAGAGAGGAGAAATAAGGAAGAAGAAGAGAAGGGAGAGAGAGGAGAGAAGGGAGAAGAGAAGAGAAAGGTTTTGGAGTCAACTCACTGACTGGCGGCGCCAGCTTATATTATTATATATAGGGCGACCATAATTAAAAGGGAAAAGACCCTTATGCCCCTACTTAAGTTAGAGTACATAAACAATGAAAAAAAAAACTACTTTAACCAGACCTTAACTCAGCAGAATACAAACATAAAAAATAAAACAAACATTCCAACACTCCCCCTCAAGTTGGGACATAGATGTCAATCATGCCCAACTTGTCACACAAATTATTATGCCACACATGATGAAGGCCCTTGGTGAAGATGTCTACAAGTAGTTCTTCTGAACTAACATATGGAGTGCACACTTCTCCGCTCACAAGTTTTTCTCTAATAAAATGTTTGTCCACTTCAATATTTGTTCTATCATGGAGGATTGAGTTAGCAGCTTTGTTGTCACAATAGAGTGACATAGGTTTGTTAACTGCAAAACCCAACTCTCCTAACAAGTTTTTTGTCCACATGATTTCAGCAACTCCATGAGACATAACTCTGTATTCTACTTCAACATTGGGTCTAGCCACTACACTTTGCTTCTTACTTCTCCAAGTGACTAAGTTTCCTCCCACAAAGGTGCAATACCCACTGATGGATTTTCTGTCATCGACCACCCCTACCCAATCAGCATCTGTATACACCTCCACCTTCAAATGCCCATGTTTCTAGAATAGCAAACCAGCTCCTAGGAACTTCTTGTGGTATAGGATCCTTTCTGCAGCTTCAAAGTGAGTTGTCTTAGGGTTATGCATGAACTGACTAAGGACACCCACTGTATAGGCAATATCAGGTCTGGTCATAGACAAATATAAGAGTCTCCCTACAAGTCTCTGGAACCTCTTCACATCTTTCAAAAACTCCCCCTGGTTGTCTCCCAGCTAATGGTTGGGTTCAATGGGTGAATCAATTGGCTTCACTCCTAACTTGCCTGCATCCTCTAATAGATCTAGTACATATTTCCTTTGGGAAATAAAGATGCCCTTTTGAGAACGGGCGACTTCAATCCCAAGGAAATAATGTAAGGGGCCTAGATCTTTCACCTCAAATTGAGTGGCTAGTAATTTCTTCAGCTTCTGTAATTCAGCCTCCCAATCTCCTGTGACCACTACGTCATCAACATGCACAATTAAAGCTGCAATTTTCCCTTCACCTTTCTTCACAAATAGAGTATGATCTGATTGGCGTTTTTTGAACCCCATCTGTTGTACAACTAAGTGAAACTTACTAAACCAGGCCCGAGGTGATTGTTTCAACCCATATAATGATTTTTTTAACCTGCACACCTTCTGCTCACTACCTTTGGCACAAAAACCTAGAGGTTCAGTCATGTAAACCTCCTCTAGGTCATCATTCAAGAACGCATTTTTAATATCCAACTGGTGAAGTTCCCAGTCAAAATTAGCTTCCAATGAAAGGAGGATTCTAATCGAATTCATCTTGGCTACTAGAGCAAAGGCATCTACGTAGTCTACTCCATATACTTGTATAAACCCTTTGGCCACCAATCTGGCTTTGTACCTTTCTACCAAACCATCATCCCTATGCTTTACTGTGAATACCCACTTGCATCCCACTGGTTCCTTTCCTTCAGAAAGATCCACCAACTCCCAGGTGCTATTTTTGTGTAAGGCATTAATTTATTCCTTCATTGCATCTGTCCATTCAGTTTTAGATAAAGCTATTGCGAACAGAAAAACTGTCAACAGAGGAAAGGAATACACGATATGAAGGTGAAACATGATCACAAGACACAAAGTGAGAGATAAGATGATTAGTAGTACAAGATCTAACACCCTTTCTCTTAGCAATAGGAACATCAAGATCATTAATAACAGGGGGATCACAATCAAGAGGTTCAGGAATATCAATGGGAACAACTGTACCTGGTTGACGAGGAGGATCTACCTCTAGAGAGTCTGATGATGTTGGTTGCACAATTTTAGGTTCCATGGCTCTTGAGCTCTGCTGGCTCTTATGGCGGCAAAGAAAGACACGAAATGGACGAGGATCAGGAAGCGGAGGTAATTGAGTCTAAGCCTGGGTGTGTTTCTCCTCCTCAACCCTACTCTCCCCCTGGGGAGAAACCGAGAAAAAATGTTGACTCTCAAAGAATGAGACATCCATGGAGACATAGTACTTGTGTGAGACAGGATCATAACAACGGTAATCCTTTTGAGATAAAGGGTAACCAAGGAACACACAGGGAATGGCACGAGGATCAAGCTTACCACGAGTAGGAGACAAATCATGAACAAAGCAACGACACCCAAAGACACGCATTGGAATAGGGGACAGAGGAGCCGTAGGAAACAAAATTTGATGTGGGGCCTTATACTCTAACAATCAAAATGGCATACGGTTGATGATATACGCAGTACACGTAACAACATCCATCCAAAAGTGTTTTGGAACATTCATATGAAATAATAAACCATGAGCTACTTCGAGAAGATGATGATTTTTTTCTTTCAGCAACACCATTTTGTTGGGGTGCCCTAGCACAAGAGCTCCGATGAAGAGATCCACACGAAGCAAAGAACTCCGTGAGATCAGTATGGAAGTAGTACTCATTTGCATTGTCCAACTAGAACATATGAATCTCTGTTTGGAATTGAGTGAAAATCATGCAATGAAAATCTTTCACAATCTTTGGCACTTCGTTTCTAGATCGTATAGAATAAACCCATGTATATCTAGAGTAGTCATCAATCAAAGTAATGAAGGGATATGGTTGAAGGGATGGAGGAGTTGATCGGAAAGTACTCGGTTTCCATGAAGTTTAAGCAGCAAGAGGATGATTATATGTGGGTGCTAACAAATGTTTACG